GCTCTTCCCACGCTTCTGCTCGCTGACGTTTCCCCGTCGGTAGAGCCGTACGGCCGAACGCAGACTTCCCCGGCACCCGCACAGACGCCCGGGACCGGCTGACTTAGCCCGGCAGCCCTCGGCTCCCGCCCCGCAAAATGTCTCTTGGAGGAAGAGACGACCACAGGATCCTAACAGGGAAATCTCGGTTCTCTACCGAAATTATTCCCCTGGACGGCAGCCACGAGCTCTGGCACCCAGCAACGCGGAAGCAGCCAACCTCGTCCGCCTACCCGTTTGCCATCCCAGCCCCGGTACCTTTTAACCTGTGGTCCAGATACTCCAGAATGACCCTGATGACTTGGACGATGGCGAGGATCAGAGAGCCGAAGGCGAGCGAGCCGGTGTGGTACCTGGGGAAGATGGCTCCGGTTAGGACGGGACAACCCAAAGAAGCTCACGAGTCCTCCTCGAGAGGGACATACCGGAGCGCCCGGCTGAAGGCGGAGAAGAGGGGGAAGGCGGGCATGTCGTCAGGTTTCTTGAAGGCCCAGTAGTAGGAGGCGAAGGCCCCCGCCAGCGTCACCTGGCCCAGCGCGATCACAAAGTTGGCGAGCCAGAAGAACATGAAGATGTTGAAGAACTGGAGGGCGATGAGGTACTTGTGGTACGCCGTCTCGCCCCCGTAGAACGCGAAGAGGCACTGGGCGTCGGAGCACAGCTTGGTGACGTTGGTCGTGTTGAAGGTCTAGAGAGGACGGCAGACGCTCACCTACTTGCACGGCACACCGACGGCAAACCCAAAGCCCCCTCGACTTCCGGAAGACATTATCCCGCTTAATCTTTCAGTGGCAGGAGCTCAGACCCACAGGTCAGCTCTGCGCACACGAGAGCTCGACGAAAACCAATGACACACCGCAAACGAGCTCCGAAAAGTGGAATTTCACGCGGAAGAGCCTGCAGGCTCGAACAGCCGCCAGAACGCTTCTCATGCGATAAAGGACATTATCTCTGGCACATTAAACACGAGTTTCCCAACGCCCTCACCTCCGGGTTGCAGGTCTGCCCGGAAAACGGGCAGGCAGACTCGTTAAACACCTTGTAGACTGCCTCGTTGGAGGTGGAGAGGAAGCTGCAGAGCGACCGTTAAGGAGACAAGGATTTCGCAAACCCCAAACCCGAATCCGAACGCCGGTTTGCTCCTACCGGCCTCCCGCTGCCGCTTCTCTACCTCCTGTTTTAAGTTAAACCTAAAGTTTTATTTTAAGTTAAACTGAAGAGATTTAAGCTGTTGGTTTTGCCAACGGTCGTGGTGCTAATCCTGCGAGACGTTCAGCGCCCTGGGAGACCTTTGGTTTCTGAGCAGCTTCCTTCCCGGGGAGCAGAGGTGCAGGGGAGAGGAAGAGGAGCAGGGGAGAGGAAGAGGCAAGGATACACGGCGGTGCTGGCCCAGTAGGCGATGCAGAGGCACAGCAGGAAGAAGGTGCACAAGGGGAACAGCAGTGACATCATGATGTGGCCGATGGCCCTGCCGAGAAGACGGTTCAAACCCGGTTAAAACTCCTCACGGCGACGGGAGGACCTCAGCGGCTGCAGCCC